TTACATTACTTTTTTTAAGTAATTGAAATAGTTACGCTACTTATTAGATTTTAAAATAGGGTAACTTGTAGCCTATTACATATCCGTAGCAACCTTCCCAACACTGTGCGTAAAATAGATCCATTAGGGTCTCAGCTACAGCTAAATGTTTAAACAAACTTAAGGATGATTTTGTCAGTTTGTGGTGGGGTCTGTGAAAGCTGCATGGGGGTGCATGAGAGAGTTTGAAAGAAAATGTGTTTGGCTTATAGATGTGATTTTACTACAAACTATAAGCATTCTAACTTAGAAACACAACGCTATGTTTTATTTTTTTATTCTTTTTATTTCCAACAAAACGGTTGTTTGACATTTAAAAAGTCAAAAGAAAATTTGTCGCGTTTTGATGAGAAAGTCAGTTATGGTATATCAATTAAGTCTTTTTTTTATTGATTAATATGATAGAATCATGCTGAATTTACAAGGTTATGTATTTATACAATAATGTTTCATGTACTCACTGGTTACTTTATACATATTCAAGAGAAATGCATAACCTCAGTTGTTTAATCAATCTAAAGTTTTTAGTCCGTCATTATAATATCTTAAAAGTAAAGTCTTCCATACATTCTATTTTAATTTGTTGCAGGACTCTGTTACACAAAATCCAACTGAGTATGACCGTGAATCCTATATGAAAGCTAAAAAAGATGACTTTTTAAACTATTTTTAACAGTAATATCGAACTTTACACATGCTTAACATCTTAACACATATGTATCAGTAAGATATTAATGTCATCACAAACCATCAGACACATCAGCTTGGGGTGATGAGATGGACTTATCGAATATCTGTTTGTTTCTTATATCAATAAATTAATCAAATCTTAGTAAAATAAAACATTATAGTGCTATAGTGGAAAATAAATGTTGCATTTAAACAGCATGGTTAATAACACCCTTTTTAAGTAAAGTGAGAAAGAAAGTCTAATCTGTTGTAAAGGTTATGTGAGACATTTGTAGCATCTTGTATAAGAAACACTTTTTGTTGCAAACAACCTTATGACAACTAATTTTCAGTCTATTATAGCTAATTCATTAAGAAAAATCTATGTAAACGTATTGCATTCATCAGAGGATTATTTGACTGCTTCTAATCCTTGCTTTAGCACATCATGTTTTTAGGTTTGAAAGTTCTAAAAATCTCCAATACTTAGCTTATTTGTTCAAACAAATGTTATATCATTGTTTAATCATACTGCTTTCATCATCTTGTAGAGATACCCTGTGTGATTCTAAAAGTTTTTATTTGTAAAAGGTTTGTATGAGACATCGTACAAGTCTAAATGTTTAACTGTAGGGATGTTTGTGTGCATGTTTGTGTTGAGTGTTTGTGCTTTGCGTGTATGTTTGTTTAAAACATAAATCTCCTAATTTATTTCACTTTTGTTGTTATTTTCTTTTTTTCTCTCTATCTATCTAAGTGTATCCTGAACCTCTGTGAAATCACATCCACCAGCTATACATTAGGCTATTAACATTCCTGTTTTTCTTCTTAACCTAACCAGATGTTTGAGGTTAAAAAGTTCAATAGGGTGCACATCCTTTGTCCTTCCACTGAACTTTTCACTAAACTTTTGACACTAGTCTAAATGTTTAACTGTAGGGATGTTTGTGTGCATGTTTGTGTTGAGTGTTTGTGCTTTGCGTGTATGTTTGTTTAAAACATAAATCTCCTAATTTATTTCACTTTTGTTGTTATTTTCTTTTTTTCTCTCTATCTATCTAAGTGTATCCTGAACCTCTGTGAAATCACATCCACCAGATCTATGTTATTAACCTGTTTTTCTTCTTAACCTAATCAGATGTTTGAGGTTAAAAAGGGGGTTCATATTCTTTGACCAACCACTGACTGAACTTTTGACTAAACTTTTGACACTCGCAGGTGCACATCATAAAATAACTGCAATGGATAGGCCTACCCTTTGATCAGTGAAATTTGCCTGACACAACAACAAAGTTTACAATGCCAGATCCCTTAAACTCATTAGATTGCAAATGAGTTGCAATCCCAGAAACAGGCTTAGATGTTTCACAAACTTTTGAAATACATTACGCTGATATGGACACTTCAGTTATAACCAACTCAGATTAATATTTAAACCAATGTTAGTTATATATCTGATTTTTGGGTGGGTTTCCAACATAAACGTTGATTAATTCTGACAAATAAAATAAGGCAGCCACAAAACTCTTCCTTTAACTTGTATTCCTTTCAATTGAAATGATACTAACGAAAACAATACACATTTTGCACCAAACACAACAGTGATAATATCAATCAAACACCACTTGTTCATCTGAGATCACAAATTGGCTCATCTTGATCAAACTATGAATCAAGTCCTTGAGTGTGAAAGCACTAAATGTTTAAAAGTCAAAGAAAGTAGTCTTATCTGTGATCATGTTAGACATTGAAGAAGACCAATGGCAACAACGACTGAAGTAGGCCCAAACGTTGTCCTTGAATCACAATTATAATCCGTATTGTAAAGCGTCGAATGGGTCCTTAAAGCAACTCCATGGTAAGGAACCAAACAGATAGACTCAAGTAGGCCTACTTGCCAACTCCACCAACGAAGATTCCAATTCAATCCCCAATGCTTCCATGTGTATCAAGCATAACATAGGGGGAAAAAACCCTTAGTTGAGAAGGAAACAAATGTTTCTCAAAAAGGGCCTTCCCCAAATGCAGTAGATGAGCTCAAATGCTGCTACTAGGCACATTGCCACACTACCAAAAGGTATCCATACTCTCTTCTATTAAGCTACTACATTTATCCGTGATCAACCAAAGTTTAGTCTGCCCCCTACAAGCAAGGAATGAAACTGCAGCTGAACTCAACTAGTAGCAGGCTGAAGACTGTTACATACCCCTCTCCATCAAAAGAAGTCTTAAAATACCTATGGCAGACTTTTAAATTCTGAACATGATAGGTATCAACATTTCCAGGCTCGCCAAGAAATGAAACGGCATAATTTACTGGACCCAGACATTTTTCAACTTTAGCTGGCCCCTTCCATTTTGCAGACAATTTAGACATAAACCCCTCATCTGCTTTGGATAAAGGATGAGCTTGAACCCAAACTATGTCTCCTACTTGAAACCGAGTATGCTTTCTTTTTTTATCGTAATAACATTTTTGCTTGGCCTGAGCTCGTTCTACATTCTCCCTTACCACCTGGATCAGACTTTGTTGCCTGTCTATCACTTCATAGGTAGGGCTGCTTGGATCAGGTGGTCGATTAATAGCCCTTTCTAGTGGACCCTTGAGTTTCCGTCCCAAAGCAACTTCAGCAGGTGTATATCCCGTACTTTCATGCCACGCCATGTTAATTGCAAACCTAAATTCGGCCAACCACATGTCCCATTGTCTGTGGTGCTCTTCCACATATGAAGCCATCATTGTTTTGAGTGTGCGATTTACCCTTTCCGTAAGGTTTGTTTGTGGGTGATACGCAGTTGTTAATTTCTGCACAACTCCCCATTGCTTACAAATCAAGTTGATAAGATGGGATGTGAACTGTGCTCCACGATCGGATACAAGGTAAGCAGGAGTTCCCCATCTAGTGAATATTTCTTCCACTAAGATGCGTGCTATTTGTGGTGCCTTGGCCGTTCGTAAAGGAAATAACTCCACCCACTTGGAACAATAGTCAACCACCACCAGTAAATGTTCGTTCTGCTTTCCACTCTTCGGAAATGGTCCCATTAAATCTACACCAAGCATGTAACCTGGCTCCACCACAGGTGTTGACTGTAAATGGCCAGACAGCTTTGACAAGTTAGGTTTGTACTTCTGACATATATGACAAAACTTGCAGTACTTCCATACATCTGCACGGATACTAGGCCAGTATGCAACTTCCATTAGCCTGAGCAATGTCTTCATTCTCCCAAGATGCCCACTCAAAGGACTGTCATGTGCATACTGTAAGAACTCATTTCGGAGGGAAGCTGGGATGACTAATTGCAATTTCTCTCCATTATGACTACTAGGGACACTGCGAAATAACAACCCATTTTCACACACATACCTAACCTGTGTATTATCCGCATCCACCTGTGCATCAGCCTTCTTACTCAGCTCTTGCACTTCCGCATCATCACTCTGTGCAGTGGCTAGTTGAGACAGGTTGACTGGTAAAAATGCTGGCTTAACTGGGGACTTCATGACTTCGAGAACTGTAATCCTTCCTGAAGTTGCCACTGGTTCCATGCTTCTAGATAGGACGTCTGGGACTACTGATGCGCCTGATATTTGCACGTGCTCTTGTGTGTGTGCCTCTTCTTGTTCTTTCTCAGGTTCAGGAGGTGAAGGATCCCTAATCTGCTGTTTAATTTCATTCTTAGCCTCAACCACTTAATTTTCTTCTTCTGAGTCTACATAAAGAGTACTAAATGTATCGATTAGCTCTCGAACAGGCTCTCTTCTGCTAAGGAATGCGTCAGAAGAAAAATCAAGTTTGGGTTCCTGCTCATCCCCGTCATTAGATCCTTAGCTTGCCATATTTTATTAGCAGAATAAACAATATCTCATACGAAAATGTGTCCCTGTTTGGGCACCATTATAAAACCAACTCAGATTAATATTTAAACCAATGTTAGTTATATATCTGATTTTTGGGTGGGTTTCCAACATAAACGTTGATTAATTCTGACAAATAAAATAAGGCAGCCACAAAACTCTTCCTTTAACTTGTATTCCTTTCAATTTAAATGATACTAACGAAAACAATACACATTTTGCACCAAACACAACAGTGATAATATCAATCAAACACCACTTGTTCATCTGAGATCACAAATTGGCCCATCTTGATCAAACTATGAATCAAGTCCTTGAGTGTGAAAGCACTAAATGTTTAAAAGTCAAAGAAAGTAGTCTTATCTGTGATCATGTTAGACATTGAAGAAGTCCAATGGCAACAACGACTGAAGTAGGCCCAAACGTTGCCTTGAATCACAATTATAATCCGTATTGTAAAGCGTCGAATGGGTCCTTAAAGCAACTCCATGGTAGGGAACCAAACAGATAGACTTAAGTAGGCCTACTTGTCAACTCCACCAACGAAGATTCCAATTCAATCCCCAATGCTTCCATATGTATCAAGCATAACATAGGGGGAAAAAACCCTTAGTTGAGAAGGAAACAAATGTTTCTCAACAAGGGCCTTCCCCAAATGCAGTAGATGAGCTCAAATGCTGCTACTAGGCACATTGCCACACTACCAAAAGGTATCCATACTCTCTTCTTCTATTAAGCTACTACATTTATCCGTGATCAATCGAAGTTTAGTCCGCCCCCTACAAGCGAGGAATGAAACTGCAGCTGAACTCAACCAGTAGCAGGCTGAAGACTGTTACACAGTAATCACACAACCCCAGACACCCGGCGCCAATCTCGTTTCGATACACTGCGTGATACGAAATATTTACATTTCGTACCTTGTTGTAAAAACCTTAGATGTTTAATTACGCATGTCTGTTTTAATTGATAGATAACACGCCACAAGTGTTACAGACGGAAAATCAAAGAATCTCCCTGAAACATTCCAGTTAGATATTTGCGTACGCATACGTGCGAGCATTCGTGAGTGTTTTAACTGTACCACACGGCAAGTTAAATTGGACAAAAACCAAAGAGTAAATAAAGGAATTACTCAAATAAGTGTGAATAACTAAACTAAACTAAACTAAAAAACAAACAACATTTTTCCTGCAGCTTAGGCGGCATTTGTTTATAAGGTAAAAACTTGTAGGCTGTAGGTTATCCTATTTTTAAAGTAAAAAATGCTGGTCTAATGTTAAAACAGGTAGAACGTTTTCATCAATTAAGAAATTATATCAATTTATTATAAAACACTACTTTGTTTAATTCTGTTAACATACATTTAAATCTTATCTTTGCTGTACTCCGGTGTTAGGGGGAGGGTTGTGGGTGGGGCCTGGGCGCTTCAACATTTTTCCTCTGGCCTAGAGGTTATTGTTTAGAAGAAAACTTGACTACCCTAATTTTAAAAGTGTAAAGGTAAAACTTTTTAAAGTAAAAATGATGGTCTAATGTTAATACAGATAGTATGTTTTCATCAATTAAGAAATTATATAGATTTATTAGAAACACTACTTTGTTTAATTCTGTTAACATACATTTAAATCTTATCTTTGCGTGACTCCGGTGTTAGGGATGTGTTAGGGGCGGGTTGTAAGTGTGGTTTGAGTAGGACCGGACGTAAACATTCTGAGTTTTGACTGCTGCGTGTGAGGATGTATCAGCGTAAGATACACGGGGTCTTTTTCTTTTGTTTAACTTGTGATAAACTCAAACTAGTTTTTAAATTGTAGCTAATGGTAGAGCACAACATAGATTTTGACAAGTATCTTAACCTGTCACTTAACGTTTTTTCTTTTCTAACTGGTAACAAGCTCTAACTTTTAAAATTGTACAGAGAAAAAAACTGACATATTGTTTAACGTACGTATCTGTATGGATATTTTTGTTTTAGATCACGGTGAGATGTCAGCATTTTTTCGTTATTTTCTAACTTGTAACAGACTCTCAAACTTTTAAATTGTAATGTTACAAGATTTTGACTGCCATGTACTGTTTAACGAACTATCTGGAAGGATACTTTTTTGTTTTAGATCATGGTGAGA